ATATATATATATATATATATATAATATGATAATATATACACATATATATGTTTTGTGTATATATACATATATAGCAAATATATATGTATATGCATATGTATATGTGTATGTGTGTGTATATATGTGTGTGTAGATATAGATGCATATGATCTTTCCTTATCCTTTCATCCATCTATGGATATTTAGATTGTTCTCACATCTTGGCTATTGTAAATAATGCTATATTGAGCATAGGAGTGCAGTTATCTCTTTAAGATACTGATTTTGTTTCCTTTGGATAAATACCCAGGAGTAGGACTGCTTGATCATAAAGTAGTTCTATTTTTAATTTTTGAGGACCCTCATACTGTTTTCCATAGTGACTGCACCAATTTACATTTTTTAAATGTTTATTTATTTATTTTTGAGAGAGAGAGAGAAAGAGAGAATGCAGCAGGGAGGGGCAGAGATAGGGAGAGAGAATCCCAAGCTGGCTCCACACTGTTAGCACAGAGCTGGATTTCATGAACCATGAGATCATGACCTGAACTGAAATCAAGAATCGGATGCTCAACCACTGACTAAACCATCCAGGGCCCCCCCCCCCCAATCTACATTTTCATCAACAGCGAGCAAGAGTATTCTTTCTCCACGCTCTCGCTGACACTCATCAGGAACTACTTGTTAGTACCAGCCATGTCCTGGGTGCTGTGCTGGGTGGGGCTACAATGCTGAGTCTCTGTGCCCATGAGACACACAATCCCAGGCCTTTTGCACATGTGCAGCTCCCCTCCCCAGACTTTGCTGAGGATGCCCCACCTTTCTGTAGTCGCTCTCCATCATTGGCCTTCTTGCTATCCCAAAGGGCTTAGAATCATCTCCCTAGTTTCCTGCTCCCTCCTTGAGACCACTTATACAAAATATTAAATAAAACAAGTCATAACACCAGTGCTTGAAAAGTCCCCCAGTGCCTACTTCTCCATGCAGAAACGGGTCTTTTTCTGTCTCTAAGTCAGTTCTCTCTCCTTGGTCAAACTGCCCAAAGTCCCACAGAGACTCATTATTTTTAAATACCTTTTCATGTGGAACCTTGTCAAAGGCTTTTGGAAAAATCTAAATCGCTAAGAGGCAAGCACTGAGCTAGGAATCAGGAGACCTGAGTTCTAGACCCAACTGTCACTGGTTTTATCACTGAACTTTTGGCAATGCATAAGACAGCTCCAACCTCAGTTTCTTCATCAGTAAAATGTGGATTATTATGCTAGTGGTCAACATCATAAAAATCTTACAACCATCCAGTGAGACAATGTTACTTAAGAATGCTGTGCAAGGTATAAAACACAAATGTAAGGGATCATTATTTGAAAATTCATGACAGCATCTTCTTCACTCATGTGCATGATTCACTCCCAAAAGAACTGTAGTGGATACAGAGATGGTTCGTCCAGCACTCTAAGGGTGCTGTTTGTTTAATACCAACTGCTTTCATTTCTTGAAGGGATGCAGGTTTATATAGCTGAAAGAACCTGGTTCAACATGCACTGGTGTGATATGTAAACACAAGGAGGCACGGACAGAATCAGTCAGACCTTGGTATGGGTCAAGGCCATGCTGTTTGCTAGATGTGTGACCATGAACAACTTACTAAACCTCTCTGTACCTCACCTGTAATTGGGACAGTATCAATGCACAGAGTTCTGTGGTTTAAATGAGAAGCTAATATATGTAGAAAGGCTGGCATGAGCCCTGGCACACACTAGCCACCCAGTTATTAGCAGTTCTTGTTGCTATTGTTTGTGGGAGACCAAGGGAGCCCACAACTGGGTCATCCTACCTCAATTTTATGATTGTCCATCACTCAGCAAATCCTACCACAAACTCCTTTTATCCAAGATCTGTGTGAGATTCTTTCATCAGGGAGATGAACGAATGCTTTCCTTTCTGTTTTCTGAGATAAGTAGTGGACTGGGGAGGTGTATGAGGAGAGGGAGCCCTGCCTTTCCAATTACTGATTTCCCACCCAGGTGGAGTGTGGAAGGGGGTATCATAACCCCATCCTCCCTCCCTGGGGAAGGCTCATGAAAACTTGCCCTAGGTGCTCCCTGGTCCACCCCCTCTGTCCCTGCCCCAGCTCACCTGGCTTCCTCTGATGTCTACCTATATCCAGCCTGTCACCTTGCTCTAAAGAGCAGGGAGTGGGGGACCAATGATAAAGAAGATTGATCAGACACTGAATCCAATTTCCCTTGGGGATTAGACCATGGGCACTGGATGGGACTCATATCTAGCAGCATTCCCTAGGGGAGCCTACTCCTGCCAGCAGCCTGAGGGGGCTGGAGACAAGACAGGGTGCTCAGTATCACTCTTGTCATTCTTGTGCTGCTGCACCAGAGTTGACTCACAGCTGGGGATGAAGCCTGGCTGGGCTGGGGGCCAAGGCCATCGCCACGCGGTCAGACTTGGGTGGTAATCCCAATTGGTTTTGCATGAACTTTCATTTCATTCAGATTAAGGAAAGACCTGGCCAGGATGGACATCTGGTGGTGTGGGGGTGGGTACAGAAGCAGGAGGGCTATTGGAATCTGAGGCATTTTGATTTTCAGAGCTAAAAGTATTTTCTTTAACTCCTTTATCAGTTTTTGGTTTTGTTTTTGTTCTCATGAACTTAATGGGAAATCTGCAAAGAGGAGGTTTAACTTCATTGATTTATTTCTCCATTTTTAAAATAAATATTTGTCAAGCTCAAGTATTTCAGCATCAAAATTAGGAACGACTAGTGAAAACCGCTGGAATTGTGTAGACCAGAGACAGACGCTGACCTCAGCGCCCTGCCTTTATTTGGGTGGCACCCCCCAGGGAATAAACATGAGAGCCATCAAGGAACAAGGTCTCATGTAATCGATGATAGGAAAAGCATGGACTTCAGAGTGGAACTGGATTCTCATTCTGTCTCCAGATTTTAGATCTCAGGCTAATTGTTTCATGTACCTCTGCCTCATTTTCCTCATCTCTTATATTAGTATATCACGTAGGACTTTCGATGTTGCATAAAGCCCTTTTGTTCCTTTAACGATAAGGAAATAACTTGAGTAACTAGAAAGTCCTGACATAGGGCAGGCTTTGGGGTCATTTTGTGCCTCGGGGGTGTCACCAAAGACCAATTTTTTTTCCATCTCTGTACCTTCCCTGGTTTCAACTCCTCTCTTTATTACAAGACGGCTGCCCACAGTTCTGGGAGCTAGCTGTTTCTTTGACCCTTTTGAGGATGAGGAGAAATTCTCTGTTCTCTGATCACAGAACACTGTCTTGCCCTGCTTTGCTCTGAGTGCACATGTTGATTGGCTTGGGCCTGTTTTCTTTCAATCACTGTGTCAACAGAATGAGATTAAACTGATTTGCTTGTGCCCATCAGGGAGCACCCCCAGGAAGCAGGGGGTGGGTCCAATCTTGCCCCAAAGGTGAGAGAGGGTGGAATGGATGCTAGAGGGGCCATGCAAGTCAGGACAAATGACCACTAAGCCCACAGGATTGAGAGGATTACACCAATAAGGAATTATGTGCAAAACCATTTCTCAGTGCCTGATGTGTAGGAAGGGCTTAAAAATAGTGCTTAAGAGGAAAGCAAACAAACAGAGCCTGGAACGAACCTAAAATCAAACACATAAATCACAAAATAACCTAGTGTCACAATTCGGTGAATTCAAAAGAAACGAGAAGCAGCAGACTTTCAGATGAATTGATGTTATCAGTTGACATTACTGTGGTTTTTCCCTTCTGTAATTTGGTTCCTCTGAATAACTTCTCTTCTCCTTGATCTCATGAAAGGTTAAAAGTTAAAAGTAAGAGGACATTATGGGAATATATGGAATATAATTGTTCTTTAGTTTTGTTATTGAAATCTCTAAAATTACATTGTGGGTACCTTACAGAGTCATATACAAATGGTATCTAATCAAGTTTGGTGACCCTGTAGCTACTGCCTCTCCCTGTCTCCCTCCACTGTTCCCCTCCCCTTTTCATGTTCCCTTGGTCCCAACTTAGGTGAGTAAGTAGCATTATTAGGGCTGGGCAGTGATTGTGTTGAATCCATGAGCCCAGACTTTTGACGATTCTGATGCTGGAGACCTGGGCCAGCACCCAGGGTCGGATGAGCATCATGTGGGGTTGGGAAGTCCCTGTCTTTCTAGATTTGTCCTCCACTATGGGGGATGTGGGCAAAAGTCTCTCCTGGTTGTCTCCACATTGTCTAAGCAGTTCTAGGAAGTCCTGTGGATGGCCCAGGGGTAATCTACTATGCTAAGTGTTCTCGGAAGTTTGGAGATGACTCATGCCCAATACGCATTTTCCTGGAATACTCATGTCCCCTTCTTTGGGGACATAAATAGAACCTCTAGGGCCTACATCTACTCTAAAGCTTGAAGCATAAGCCAATGGTTTAATCGCCAGAAGTAGCCCACTCAATGTGAAACTGCTTGGGTTGGCTCCTTGCCTGGTTCCCCTCAACAGTATGGCAATGATAGCTGGGTAGCAGTTTCAAAGAATCAGCCCACATCCTTACACCCAATTTATTTCCTGAGCACAAATGTAGCAAATAATATTGCCTTTCTATTACATGATGGCACTGATCTGTGGCAGTTTCAGTTACCCATTATTCACCCAATCCCCAGCTCCCACTCCCTAATACCAACCCCATCCTCTTCTCCAAAGATGTACAAGCCAGGCCTCAAAGACTTAAGTCTGAGGCAGAGGTAGCCAGAGAGGATAACACTGGAGAGGTAGCCAGAGAGAATAACATGCTTTGTGGAGCCCAGTTTGGTCTCCCTGCCTTCCCTTCTCTTTGCCATTCCCAGCAGGAAGCCCATGGGGGGCTTCTATCACTCAGGCTCCTCAGAGCCTGGCCTCTGGGCACTGTGGAGGCAGAGCTCACTGCCTCTCCCTTAGCTGTTGGGAGGGTCTCTGGACTGTAGCTTGACTTATAGGATCTGAACTCACATCATCTCTCCTTTTCCTCTTCTCCACAGATCCGGGTAGATGGGCCCAGGGGCAGTGCCCTCCAGTATGAGACTGTGCAGGTGGTAGACCCCGGCCCAGTCCTCCGGGATATGGCCTTCTCCAAGGACCACGAGCAACTCTACATCATGTCAGAAAGGCAGGTAAGGCTCTTGGGCTCTGTTAGACATTAGTCTTGCAGCTAAATGCTAGCCTGTGGCTCAGTAGAAACCTACAGGAGGCCAGCTGCAGAGGGGATTTGATTTATTTGGCTCAGTGTGTATCCTTTTGGTTAGCTGCCTGGGGACTGAGGCTGAGTGCACTGAAACGGGATGAAACACTTAAAATATCAAAATATCTGGGAGTCTAGAACAAATCCACTAACTTCAAAGTGATGGTGAGTATAGATTCAGGGCCAGAATTTACTCTCTTTTGAAGAAACATGGTACAGGTACCCAAGTTTTTTGTCTAGATTTCCTTACACAAAGTACAATCTACTACCAAAGTCAGCTTCCTGGACCCTGGAGGTCTATGGTGGGCAAGGATTTGCTGTACAAAAATCTTGGCTGAGGGAGCATCATAGAACAATCAAATGGATGGAGATTCAAAAAACAGGGTCTGTGTGTATGAGGTGAGATGATATAGCTGGTGTTCTGAGCCTTCCTGTGTATACCTATAATTCTAACATGAAGTTCCAGCAAATTCCATGAGGCCAAGCCAGGAAGAACAGAGGGTGCAGACATTACTGTTAACTGACATTGAGTAGCAAGTAGCAAAGCTGGGATTGTTTCTGGAATTCAGCTGAGTACTATGTAAGTTCTTCAAGGGTCCTTGAGCTTATACAAGGACTGATACGTCTGTAGCAGGCAGAAGTATAAATATCACCTTGAAAATTCCATATATTTAAGAGTATATCCTGGAGTGCACAGCCCAGAGTGTTCCACCCCTCAAGACACACCCACCTCAAGAGTGGATTAGCACTGCCATACCTCGTCTCTCTCATCTCTATGTAGGATGGGTCATTCCCAGGAGCTGTCCCTCCAGTCCATGAATATGTATGTGACAAAGGCAGAAGCCATGAGGGGCAGATCCCATCTCTTTATTCATCTTCATTAGCAAGGCCTGAACTCCCCAGAGGACCTTGCCGACAGAGTCTGGATTGTTCTGCCTGTCCCCTCTCTGCACAGTGCAGGAGATGAATACTACATTATGCCACCCACAGGGCTTGTGCATTATGCCTTGGCAGCCCACAGCAGCTCCACCCTCCCCAAGAGCTTGATGACATCTTCTCTTGGTGTGGGACTCCCCACTCAACCACACTGGGACCCATTGTGGTGCCCTCATCGAGACTGCCGTGGCTTGGGAATTGTCTGGTGTGGGGCTCACAGAGGAACATTTTACCCCAGGAGCCAGGACGGGGTATGAGGCTGCTCCTTTGCTTTCATTCCTTGCTCTTTTCCGATGGGGCCCACACTCCCTACTCCCTGCCTACCTTTGAGGCCCTAGACGCTGATGGGAAGCAGCTTTCCTTGAGTCCCTCAGAAAAGACTCAATACCTCTACAAGGCATTAAGTATTTCAGGTTTTCTTGCCTTAATGTAAAAACCAGGATTCCTGAACCTAGAACTTTGAGAACTTCCAAAGATGGAAAATATATGCTGTGCGGAGCCTCCTCTGATAACTGAGTTGGGACTCTGAGCTCCTTCTCCTCTCCCATTCTGCTTCCCTGAGAGCACAATCAGTGGTTAGTACCTACCCAAGCAAGGAGAATAAGGTGCACTGAGAGCTCTGGATTATAGAAAAGAAAGGAAACAAGAATGGATGGGGCCAGGGCATTCATCCATTCTGGGACTGCTCCTCACAGAGATGGAGGGCAGCCTGCCATCAAAATAAAATCCCAGATGTCTCGACACTGGTATCCAGTGGGTTTGCACATTCTTTGTGGACAGTGGTAGCATAGCACAGTTAAGCGCATAGGCTTTGGTGTCATAAATTCTGAGCATGAACCTTAGCTCCACCATTTACTAAGTATGATCTCAGGTAAGTTCCTTAACCTCCATAAGACTCACTGTTCTCAACCATTGTATGGAAGTAATAATAACATCCGATAGTGTTCCAAGAATCAAACGATGTAACATGCATAACAAACATGAACCAAGCCTGGCGTGGAGTAAGGGCTTGATAAATGGAGGCTCTTATTTTTATGACATTGCAACAAAAGCGTCTGGACATTGTGGCTGTGTTTGAAGTCAGGCATGGGGTGGCATCAAGATCCTGGGTGATCTATCAGGTATAGAGCATAGGAGTTCAGGTCAAGGCCAAGGTGGGTAGGGAACAGGGATTCAGTCCCAGTGGAAAGCCCATCAAGGACCCAGAGCCTGCTTTGAGGGCATGTACCAAGTAGAGTTCGGGGCAAGAGCAGCCTGGTAAATACACTGGGGACCCTCCAGCCTCTGTCTGCTGGCAGGTTGGTCTCAGCCACATTGTGTCAGGACACCTGAGTCTACAGGTTAGTCTGTATATGCTCAGCAATGATGTCTGCTCTGCCTGGAGGGCACTTCCTTTCTCATCTGGGTAATTCTGACTCGTTTCTCAAAACCTAGCTCTGCTCCACAATCGGTGATTGCTCACTTGTGGTTAGACACCTCTTTGGTAGCTCTTCTCATACTGGGCTTTCTCTCCTTGTCTTTCTCTCTTACCAGACGTTCAGCAGCTTGAGGGCAGCCCTGTGTCTTCTTTGTGTGTCTAAACCTCACCGAATAGGCCCTTGATAATTATTTGATGAGTTAATTAACTAATTAATTATTGATTGAATCCCCACTGTCATCATTGACCCGAAACTGGAAAAGAGAAGGACTGGAGTGCCTGGGTAGCTCAGTGGATGAAGTGTCTGACTTCGGCTCAGGTCATGATTTCATGGTTCATGGGTGCGTGCCCTGCATTGGGCCCTGTGCTGACAGCTCAGAGCCTGGAGCCTGCTTTGGATTCTGCTTTGGATTCTGTGTCTCCCTCTCTCTCTCTGCCCCTCCCCTGCTCACACTCTGTCTCGCTCTCCTTCAAAAATAATAAACATTAAAAAAAATTTTTAGTGGGGCACCTGAGTGGCTCAGTCGGTTGAGCGTCCGACTTCAGCTAAGGTCATGATCTCACGGTCCATGAGTTCCAGCCCTGCGTCGGCTCTGTGCTGATGGCTCAGAGCCTGGAGCCTGTTTCAGATTCTGTGTCTCCCTCTCTCTCTGACCCTCCCCCGTTCATGCTCTGTCTCTCTCTGTCTCAAAAATAAATAAACGTTAAAAAAAATTTTTTTTAAATTTTTTAGAGAAAAGAGAAGGACTGATACAAATTATTTATTATTTATTTATTGCTTAATTCCCAAGTTCAAACTTACGTATATAATTAAAAGACTACATTTCAGCCAAAGAAAGTATCTCCCAAATTTCCACCATCTGTTTATCACTGCCATAACTCCTGCCCTGTCCTGAACTAATTTTTACTTTATGTTTTTATTTAAGTAAACATACTATTTAAACCTAAAAGCCTAGGGCACCTGGGTGGCACATCCCATTCTTGACTTTGGTTCTCATTATATCTCACAGTTCATGGGTTCGAACCCCACATCAGTCTCTGTGCTGACAGTGCAGAATCTGCTTGGGATTCTCTCTCTCTCCCTGTCTCTCTGCTCCTCCCCTACTCATGTGCGTGCTCTCTCTCTCAAAATAAATAAATAAAAAGCTTTTATTTTTTTTTTCAATGTTTTTATTTATTTTTGGGACAGAGAGAGACAGAGCATGAACGGGGGAGGGGCAGAGAGAGGGAGACACAGAATCGGAAACAGGCTCCAGGCTCCGAGCCATCAGCCCAGAGCTCGGACGTGGGGCTCAAACTCACGGACCGCGAGATCGTGACCTGGCTGAAGTCGGACGCTTAACCGACTGCGCCACCCAGGCGCCCCAATAAAAAGCTTTTAAAAAAAGATTATAAAAACCTAAGTAACCTACTTTAGCCATCTCTTAAATAGTAGTATTGTAGATCTGATGTGCTAGACATATATAATATACTGAATTGCAATATTGTGACTTATAATAAGAAACATATATTTGGTCTTCATCCCTATTTCTGGCACTGAGTTCCAGGACCTTTGGAGTATCCTGAGCGAATAGAGCAATGGGAGAATCTTTTGTTGTAATATTTGGTCTCTTGCCCTCAGTTTCTGAAATCTTTGGGATCCGTAAAAGTGGAAGAGGTGTCTTGTTATTCACAATAAGCCCCTTTCAACCACAACTGAATTTATGTTAATTGAGTGACTTTTGGAAATCTCCTAAAGATGGAGGGGGTGGCTGGTTGTCAGGGGAGCCAGTCATCATGTGATTAGAGGGTTGGAAAAGGTAAGGATGGTATAAGAGTAGAAGTAGAGAATGGAGTGTGTGTGTGTGTGTGTGTGTGTGTGTGTGTGTGTGTGCATACAAATACTATATAAGTCCTGGCTCTGAGACCATAGACAAGTTACTAACTCTCTCACTACCTCATTTATTCATTCAATATTAAATATTGAGCACCTACTATGAGTTGGCACTTTCTAGATACTAGAGATTCAGTGGGGAACAGGATAGACAAAATCCCTGCCCTGATAGTGCTTATATTTTAGGTAGAGAGACAGACAATGAATGAGTAAATGAATAAATGATGTATGTTAGGTAATGGTGAATACAATGAAAAATTTAACAGACTCAGTGGGAAGGCAGTGGTTTCCAGGAACATGATGGGGAATGCTCCTTTAAGGAAGGTTGTCAGGGAGGTGCCAAGAAGGGAACTTTCGAGCAGAGAGAAGGATAAAGTGAAGGGCAGGAGGCGACTGGGGATCAGTCGTCATCCAGGCAGAAGGAACAGCTGGCACAAAGGTTGCGAGATGGGAACACAACTTGGTGTTTCTGGGGATGCAGACGGGCTTCTCTGGAATGGGATGCACTGGGAGAGCGGCTGCACCTCAATTTGTGACCTGTGAAATGGGGAATGTAATAAAGGGCATTGATCTCCTAGGGCGCCGATGAAGACTAAATGAGATAATGCCTGTAGGAAGAGCTTGGCTCAGCATCTAGAAGTGAGCGCACATCCAACCTATTATGATTATTTGCAAGTTGAATAATTCTAAGTGAGGATATTGCTTC